TAGGAAATCTAAGGTTTTGTTGTAACATTTATTCCATAATTAATCACGAAAAAATAATTTAACAAAAAGCTACCGTTCTAAAGTTATTCCACTATTTGTGTTACACGTAAACAGCCTAATATGCGCGCCGTACGGCGTACTAGGCCGTCGACGAAGCCCCGAGCGACCGCGCTGACGCAGGTGTCGTGGTACCGCGCGCTTATGTTACTACTGAACTTAATAATGTTTCATTTTAATAAACGACCACACGACTCTGTTTAGATTATGTTATTTAACTGAATTGATATGCTTATAATTAAAATAGCATAGCTACAATGATTAATTATGTCAATTTTTTGAATAGGTAAATACTAATAATAACTCAACCAAAAACCAATACTTCGGTAGTTAGTAGTACTAGTACTAGGTGGTAGGTTGGTAGTTACTTAGGTATTTATCATTTACAAGTATTCATCGGAATAAATGCCCGTCTCTAGATACCTAAGTATTAACAAAGAGTCTACCTTATTTACAGAAGATGCTGGAACTTGGAAGTGTCTTCCACTTTGTTCGATGCACAAGTTTGTACGACGCGACGTATTACGTTGTTTTTCACTCGCAATAATGTGTCTCTGTCACTTTTAATAATATCAAACGCGTTTATTATGCTTATTTTTAATTCGTCCGCGTTTCTAATCTCACTACCACTGACGAGCTGCAGATACATTTTCGCCACTTCTAATGTACCACATTAACATGTCTAAGTACTTGCGGTTACTATGCGTAAACTGCATTATTGAATATTGAACAACAAACAATAAAAAATGGCGCGTGCGATTGATCGGACACAACACTGAACGACACTGAGGGCCACACCCTTCCCGCGCGACAGCTATCGGTCAACTGGCGATCGAGAGAGAGAGAGAAGTGGGAAAGAGAGCGGGGCAACTAGCGAACGGGAGAGAGGGAGAAAGAGAGAGAGATTGCGATAACATGGGGACGGTGACGGCGCGCCATTGCTTCGCTCGGGCCGCAAGCGCAGCCCCACGTACGGTTTGCACAAAAACGTTTAACCAACTCCTTTATTTTTGTTAAAAATAAAAGTTGTTAAAATTGTTAATTTTTTTTTTGCTAAACGTGTCAGTTTATTGATTCCCACCAACCTCATAAAATATTTAGAGCGAATTTATTAACACCTTATATAGCTATATAGTATGTATGCATGTATGTAACTTACTTTTTATCTCCCTCTTCTTCTGCTGTCTCCTTCTCGACTGCCTCCTCTTTGGTCTCACCTTCCGTTATGAGCTCGCCCTTATCTGTTAACACATAGATATCATTTTGCTATAGATTTCACAGTGTCGAAAACGAAATAGATTTCACAGTGTCTGTCTATTTGTTGGTCTTTCATAGAGAGAGTGTAGTGGAGAGGCAGTTTAGTGGAGAATGAGAGTGAGTCTGAATGTGACTATTATAGAGTTATAGTAAGTTCTAGAAGTAGAGATTGAACCAACAAAACTATGTAACTAGAGAATTGTATTGTGAACCCGATTGGAAAAGTGTAACCTATGGAGTTTCTTGCTCGTTCTTCTCCATAGGAATCTACACATTGGAATGAGCAAATAGCTTCACTTTTACATTATTGTGGACGCCCAAAAGTGCTTTCCTGGGTGCTTACTCTTGAAACCAATCTCAATGTCAATACAATTTCAATCCAATAAAATCTCAATAATTATTCAATGTATACATTATAATTATTATGTTGTGATTAGTTTACTAATTGCAAACCACAGATAACATAATGTAATATGACGTTTATTGATAACTGTCAATGTCACTCCGTTCACTTGTCTTGTCTATGGTCTTTTCTTGTACATCCGCTCTGTTCCGTGAATATAGTTTTGTCGCTCAGTCGTGCATTTTTATTTAAATAAAGTTTAGTCATGGATTGCCTTTAATCATTCTATTGAACATTACTATACAACCACAACCGTAGCTGTTACAATAGCATTCAGAGTACGGAATATAAAGACAAACTCAATACCATTTAGTTCATTCAATATCCACGCAATACGGATGCAATGGGCGCTAGTGTCGCAACTCAAGAGTACGAAATTTCACAATACCAATGTCGATCGATCGGAATTGGATTCAAGAGTAAGCCCCCAGGTCTAATTGAAATAAATGATTTTGATTTTGACTTGATCAATCTGTTAGTACTAGAAACAAAGTAACATAAATATCACGCCTTTTATCCCCGAAGGGGTAGGCAGAGGTGGAACTACAGCACTTAATGCCGCTGTATAATATAACACCTACTTTTCACTATTTTTTTATGTTATGAGTACCACAGTGAGTCTACTGCCATATACCGGGCACAATTCCAGACTCCGTGCTACTACTGAGACTTTTTCTAACCCAGTAATACTTTGCCCAAAACCCCTTACTCAGCAGCAGGGACCGATATCGATAAATGAAAAATACCGATATGTTCAAGAAGATATCATTATTGCAACTGATATTTTATGTTAATATCGATATCCATATCGAATTTAATAAATACCGCTATTAAATTATCGATAATTATATCGTTATTCTATATCGATACCAGTCGCGAGAGGGAGACGATGATGCGACATTAGTTGCTCTCACTCGCACAGCCGCAACGCCGAGCGGCAACATTGTAACGAATAGACCAGACCCTGTGTAACTAACAGTGGAAAGTAGCTTAGTGCAACGAGTTGCGTCTTGTTGTCGAATGCGCGCGTATCTACTTGTTGTTATTGCTGTTGTTTACGTAATCGTGATAAATAATGGGGCGTAAAAAGCAAAATCATGTATATAAATACTTTAATGTTAATAAGACCACATTAAAATATCCACATTATTATATATATATACATTATTTGTAATATATCCACATTAGAAAAACTCTATTTTTTAAAACATGATGAATGATGTTAGTATCTCTTCACTTAAAGCTTCAAATCGAATGTACCTATCGAAGCAATGTAATAACTGGTGGATGCAATTTTCTCGTTTTTCTTGTGACATCATGGTCAATTTTCTTCCAATGACAAATCCCAGCGTGTAGCACTTTCCAACTGTCTCCATATTTAAATTATTTAATTCCATATTATCCGTAACATTATCAGTGTTCGTCTCATCGAATATTTTATTTGATGTGTCAATATTAAAATTTGCCTATAATAAAAACCAATACTTAATTTACATTAGGTATAATTCAACGAACTTTTGGTGTGCGTACGCGCAGCGGAATGTTGTTGAATATAAAGATTTTAATTACCTATGCAGATATTTAGTGTATGACATCGTATAATTGTGTATGGTAAACAATAAATTGTGTATGCAGCCATTGTAATTGCTAATGGCCAAACGTTCGCGTGGCGGAAACTTGAATTTCTCCGAAGTTTATGCATGCACTAGTTTTATTCATACATACACAATTACACACAAATACACACTAATTTTTGGACACATCTCTTTTCTTCTTTTTTTTATTCTTGATAGGTTTGCGCTTGACCGCTAACTCACCTGATGGAAAGGGACGATGCGGTCGACGATGGAGCGCGCTTACCTAGAAGTAACCTATTCACTCTTGACTTAAAGATTCCAGGGTTGTAGCCATCAGGAAACACAGATTCAGGCAGGGAATTCCACTCCTTTGCTGTACGCACAATGAATGTGTTTCTAAAACGTTTTGTACGTATGGGTGGGATGTCCACCATGTACCGATGGCGCATCGCCGTACGCCTGGTGGTCCGATGATGAAACGGGCTAGACGGAATTAGGTTATGCAATTCCGACGCACACTCTCCGAAGTGCAATTGGTAGAAAACCGACAGGCTAGCGACTTTGCGTCGATGCTCAAGACTTTGAAGCCTCGACTCGACGAGTACATCATTGCCAATGATTCTCTTGGCTCGCCTCTCAATTGTCTCGAGTGCATCAAGCTGGTATTGGGCAGATCTATCCCAAAGATGACAGCAGTACTCCATACACGATCGAACTTGTGCTTGATAAAGTTTGAGCAGCTATTCCGGCGCGAAGTACCGTCTGACCTTCGAGAGGATTCCCAGCTTTTTTGCAGCCAGTTGAGGCTTTGCTTCGATAAATGGCCCAAAATTTAGAGTCGAGGTCAACGTAACACCGAGAAGATCAAGATGGTCGGTTATCGGAAAGTTGGAGTAGGGCTGAATTGACTCCTTTTAGCGGAAAAAAGACACGCAGCATTAAATTTGACCAACTTGGCATCGCCCCATTCGGAGACTGCCTCCAAGGACAAGTTCAAGCGCCCAACCATAGCCTCTCGGAGAGACTGGATCTGCGACCCACTAGCTCGTGCGCTGGATGTGTAACTCTCGACAATTGTGCTGTCGTCTGCATACCCAAAGGTACCGGGCTTAAGCAGATCGTTTATGTGCAGCAAGAATAGTGTTGCCGAGAGCACTGACCCCTGAGGGACCCCGGCATTAATAGCCATTTTACCAGACGACCAGCCATCGATGACAACTCCTATGGTTCGGTCAACCGAAAGAAGGAAGCTTACTAATAAGGCTTTCGTGCCAGACCCTATCGAATGCCTTCGAGATGTCGAGGGAGACGGCAAGCGCTTCCCCGTGCTTCTCGATAGCCTCACTCCAGATGTGGATGGCATACGCTAGAAGATCCCCAGTGGACCGATTTCGGCGAAAACCATATTGTTGGTCACTTAGGATGTCATTAGCTTCATTAGGTATGCCAGGAGCTTATTGTTGAGTACACGTTCCATAGTCTTACAGAGGATACGACGACTAGTCTCCCGATACATCAGCACCAGCACGAGTCTGGCTGGTCAGCATGCATAAGAACCGCCACTTCGACCCAACTCCTCTGGATTGGCTACACTGGGCATCGTACCGGAACACGGCTGGGCCGCTTGGCGGCACGTCTTTGCCCAGTGGGTGGTCACAAGCCATCGGTCGAAACCTACCACCAGTTAGTGTCACCTGATTAGCACCACCCGGGGACCACGTGTAGGGCCTAACAATGGGTATCCTCCTACGGACGCGGGTGACTCAGCCCCCAAAAAAAGTTCTAAAGTCTATGGATTAAAAAAAGCTCCGCCAGGACAACATTCACCCAGCGGAATCAGTTTTTGTTGAATTTCTCCACAATGGCTGCGTACACAATTTCTTTTTTACCATACAGAATCATACGACGTCATACACTAAATATCTGCATAATTAAAATCTTTAAATTAAACATCATTCCGCTGCGCGTACGCACACGAACTTTTGTCCGAACGAGAAAAGCGCAGGCCACGTCGCTAACAAGCGAGCCATCGACAAGCCAGGCGAGCATCGTGGGGCTGCGGGTTGTTCGAAAGAGATACCGCAGCCCCGGAACACCAAGGGCTAAAGAAGGAATATTAATGGGTTTTAGTCAGTAAAAGTTTGACACTCCGTGACCGCGGGAGAAGTTATTTGATGATTTCCCATCCGAAAAAAAGTCAGGCATTGTTTCACCTCTTTTTATACTCCAGTTCACATCGCGAATCGCGATCCACAGAATTAGCTACTTATAGCAATACTAGCTTCTACCCGCGACTGCGTCTGCAAGGACTTCAGGAGGATTATGTTCTTTTCCCACGGGAACCACTTGAGGAACCGGAATAATAGATAGCCTATGTTTTTTTCCATGTCAAATGCTATATGCATGCCAAATTTCATCCAAATCCATTCAGCCGTTTTTGCGTGATTAAGTAACAAACATCCACACTTTCACATTTATAATATTAGTTAGGATAATCGATGCCAACAAAATATCCGACGATGCCCGCAATACTATTTGTTACATATAAAAAAATTCATAACATTGAGTCGTCATAATTGAGCCAACTCTGAAATAACGTAAAAAAAAATCAGCTGTTCCTTATAAAAGTTCAATGCCTACTCGACCATATTGTATGAAACAGCTTACCTACATTTTTTGCGATTTCAGAGTTCGTTCCATATTAAAAGCTGTTTTTTTATAGGTAGTGTCACTTCCTTGCTGGAATAAAACTATAAAATATGACGATGTGTATACCTACTTGTAGGTAATTCGTATACTTAGTACAATGATACGCATAGTATGGATAATTATGTGAGTTACAAACACTACCTAATGAATAAAATATTGCTTTAGACTTTTATGATCATAAAAATTTACCTCATCAGAATCGAATAAGTCTATAGACTCCGGTGAATTAAGTTCAGGAGTAGTACTATTAGGATCTATGTCATAATGACGGGCTCGAATAGGTGAACTTTTAATACAGTCTTCTTCCATACTCGAAACATCATCCCCAGATGACTCATCTACTACCACATTTTTTATGCCTGTAAGGTAAAATCCATATTATACAAATTGTTACCCTCGATCTTATTTTTGACGTATTGTTTATTTTAAATTCGTTGAATTGGGATAAATCGGTCTCCGATCGCTTTGCACGATTATTTACAATTCCTATTCCCATACACATCAGTAGAACATCAAAATTAAGTTAATAAGAATATTAAATCTTTAGAAAATACAAACCAGACATCTTGGGCCGATTATTTCGTGGATAATTCTCTGCGTTTGCTATAAAGGAATTAGGCAGAGACAGAGTTATCTGTCGTGTTAACTTCACCGACTGTCGTGTCGTCTGTGTCGGGGACCGGGGTACGGGCGGAAGGTCCCACATCATATTATTGGTAATATATCGTTATTTTAGTATCAGTACCGATACCGATAAAGACACTCATAATTACATATATTAATGAACTGAAATAAAATATCGGTACCAGTATCGATAAAGAGGTACCAAAATATCAGTTCCTATATCGATATTTCGATATCGATACAGGAATCATATCGGTATTACAATCTCTGCTCAGCAGTGGTACTTGCGCCGCTCGGCCACAGAGACAGTCGTCATTAAAAATAAAAAATGAAAATAAAATGGATCGTCGAGTAATGTACTCACCGGCCTGATGAGTGAGTACGTGTCGATGCATCTTGGAGCTGGTGATGAACCCGCGGCCGCAGTGCGTACACTTGTAGGGCCGCTCGCCCGAGTGCGTGCGCATGTGCACGCGCATGTACGACGCGCTGCTCACGCACTTGTTGCACACGGCGCACGTGCGCGCCCCCGCCCCCGCCCCGCGCCCCGCGCCCCGTCCAGCCCCGCGCCCCGCCCCGCGCGCCCCGGGGGACGCCGGCGGGGCCGCGGCCCACGTGTTGCTGGGGAAGTAATCCGAGTCTGATCCGCTAGGGGGCAAAATGGAGACATTTTGTTCATACATATGATGACTTCACTTTGTCCTGTGTTAGTATAGTTGGGTACTTTTCTTAATCAAAAATAAATTATTTTGACTGTTCCAATACAATAAAGTATTAAAAAATAATCACACTTTCACAGACTCTCTTAGGGATTTGCTGAATAATAAAATGATAATTAGATATAACCAATCAAAATTTAGGAGTGGGAGCTAGCTACGTCATTTCTACGTATAAAACGTACATAGAAGTGACGTCACGCGATATTTCAAATCAATATATCGTCGAAAGTATTTGTTTCTGTGAGAAAATAAAAAATACGTGTCTAATGTTTTAAAATAATCTACCAGACGGACTTTAAAATAAAAATTATACATCTACCCTATTCGTTCAACAATCCAATCGGTCTTAATGTTGTCAACAGATCCAATATTTTACTTAGAGAATAACTGATTGTAAAACAGAAACCTATGGAGTTTCTTGCTCGTTCTTCTACATAGGAATCTACACCTTGGAATGAGCAAATAGAGCAACTAGAGGACTGTTTTAAATTCAAAATTTTGTTTGATTTCCGAAAATGACAAAATTAAAACATAAAAAAAACAGGATAAAGAAACTCACTCGCTAAATATATTATTATGTTTTCGGCTTACTCACGTAATTATTTCACGAGGAACTCGCAGCAGCTAGACAGTCGCCGCGTCGCGGGTCGCGGAATGCTGCTCATGAATATGAGCCTCTAGCATGGCTTGAAACTAGTCGAGTTCCTCGTCAAATTATTACGTGAGTAAGCCGAAAACATAATAATTTATTTAGTATGTCTCACGAAGGTTATAATACAAAACAAAAAAAAACTCACTCGCTGTCTTCATTCTTGACATCACCGATATCATCCCCTCCAGCGTCTTCCACCATATCCCCCACGTCCCCCGCGTCGCTATCCCCGTTATCCCCCAAATCCCCATTATCCCCAATACCCCCAATGTCCTCATCAAGTAGCTCCTCCTTGACAGTGACGTCACAGTCCAGTTTCACCTCCTCGACCATTACTTCTACTTTTGGTATTGTGTCTTTTTGGTCATCGTCTTGTACCTGGAGGGGGGTGAGCAGAGGTTGTAGTATGGTAGTGTTGTTTGTGACTACGGGCCCGCAACCGCGGCAGACGCGGGAGGAAATCGCACCCTAAGTCCTTAGGCATAAAAGACTAACACTGCTTCAAAATGTTTCTCTGATCGGCTACGAGGCTACGACCGATAGTGGACAATTGGCACAAATTTTGTACCGTGTATAGCCGACAGTCACTTACAATGTTCCAGCTAGAAATTACTTATTTATTTATTTATTAAAAATGGTGAATCAATCGCTACATTATACAGATTTAGCAGAACAGAAATAGTAACATTGAGCCACTTACAGAGTCACACGAATACTGACTTAATAGGTAACAGATAAGGCAAAATTAAAATCATAAATGTATCAAAAACAGTAGGCACTACAACTATATGTATCAATATTTATTTTTGTAGCATAAGTCGGTAAACGAGCAGACGGATCACCTGATGGTAAGCAATCGGCGTCGCCCATGGACACCTGGAACACCAAGGCGTTACAAGTGCGTTACCGGCCATTTGGGAATTGGGAAATTGAGGATTGTGGAGGATTCGGGGATTCGGGGGAGGGGCTTTTTTTTAAGGGGGGAAATTCATCGAATTACTGCATCCGCCTGGGTGAGGCGGGAGGGAGTGTCAGACTCTTACTGACTAAAAACCACCCCGTTCCTTCTCCTGCACGCGACGTAAACAGCTCCATTCTTCAAGTGCATAATTGGTTTACCATTAATAATCTAGCACTTAATGAAAAAAAAACAAAATGTATTAAATTCAGTTTACCAAACGTGCGTAGTAACGATTGTGATATTGTTTTGAACGGTCAAAAGTTAGAATTTGTCGACGAGACAGTATTTTTAGGCATTACGTTAGACAATAGGCTACAATGGGGTCCGCATATAAAGGCGCTTTCGGGGAGATTGAGCTCAGCTGCTTTTGCAGTTAGACAGATTAGACAGCTCACGGACGTGGATACAGCTAGGCTTGTCTATTTTAGTTATTTCCACAGCATTATGTCGTACGGCATTTTGTTGTGGGGTCGAGCTGCAGAAATAGAATCAATATTTATTCTGCAAAAGCGGGCTATCCGAGCAATATATAACTTACGCCGTTGCGAATCGTTGAGAGAATTGTTTAAAACGATAAATATTTTAACGGTGCCCTGTCAATATATATATGAAAATATAATGTATGTAAGGAAAAATAGGCAATTGTTTGAAAAAAGAAGCGATAGACACAATTTTAATACTAGAGGCAAAAATAAGTTAGCTATACCGCAATTCAGACTGTCCAAAGTACAGAAATCCTTTATGGGGTTAGGTATTAAATGCTATAATAAAATACCAAATAGCATACTAGATCTCAATGAAAGTAAATTTAAAACATATATTAAGCGCGAATTATGTAATCAAGCTTACTACACACTGACAGATTATCTTGAAGATAAGAATGCTTGGCAGCATGTTGGTTCGGCTCCACTGGACAATACTCAAATGTAGTCAGTAGTTAAATTCCAATAGTAGGTAATATAATACATAATTTAATACTTTAATTCTAATGTAGACAATCTAGTTTCCTTATGGCATCGAGCATTTCTTTCTTTATTGAAACAAAGAGTTTCCTTTTTCTTGTATAGAAGCACTATTTCTATGGATTGTCAGTATGCATATGTGAGCACCATGTTGGACTTAAGATCTTTATTATTTTTATTTTTATTTTAGTAAGTTAATAGTATAATGCGTCAAGCGTGTCTTTGCATTGTTCTTACATATGCGTACAGTATTGAAACATGTATCAGAGACATTGTAGAACATACTTTTTTAAAAGAGTAACGAATGGAGTTTCTTGCTCGTTCTTCTCCATTCGAATCTACGTTTTGGAATGAGCACCTAGCTTCACCTAGCTTCACTGACGGACTGACTGACAGACTATTATTTATTTTGTATTTGTTGACGTTTCAAAAGTACCAAACTATGGTTTAATTGAAATAAATGCTTTGACTTTGACTTTGACTTTGACTTTGGGATGATGACAGGGTATGAAAATTAAAAATCTAATTAGTCCGTCAGTTAGGTAATGAAAAAATATTAGACACGTATTTTTTTATTATTTCGCATAAGATACTTAGATAAAACGAATCAAAGTTTAGGAGTTGGGGCTAAAACGTCATTTCTACGTATAAAATGTACATAGAAGTGACGTCACGCGACATTTCAAATCAATATATCGTCGAAAGTATTCGTTTCTGTAAGAAAATAAAAAATACGTGTGTAATGTTTTAAAATAATCTACCAGACGGACATTGAAATAAAAAATAGGCATCTACTGTATTACTACAGACCCAGACAAACATACGCGGCAAGCTAAATGAAACCGTTTGTTGATAATAAAATGCCTTACGTTGGAAATAAATAAGAATTAAATTAATCATCGTGAAATCTATTTCGTTCTCGTCCCGAAGTAAAATGGTTCTGTCTCAGTAATACAATAGTTTTACAAACAAATAAAAACAACTGGTGAACCATTGCAAGAAGCAAACTTCGAGAGCGCACGAACTCATAGTACATTATCAATACATCACGCCATGTCATTGTCGAAGACGTATTTCTCGTTGGACTGCGTCGTTGGCCGAGTGGTCGCAAGTGCGACTGTCGGGCAAGGGGTCTCGGGTTCGATTCCCGGGTCGGGCAAAGTATAACTGGGTATTTAATTCTCAGTAGTAGCACGGAGTCTGGAATTGTATCCGGTATATGACAATATGCTCACCCCCTATTACATGGGACTCATAACATAAATAGTGAAAAGTGGGTGTTACATTGTACAGTGACATAATGCACATCTCTGTCGGGTACGGGTCTTCGGGGATAAAAGGCGTGATGTTATGTTATATATGTCTCTATGGGTGACACGTGCGATGCGAGTAGTGACTACAAATGTACGTCTAGTGTCTCATGGACGTACTTCTATACATTTCATCTTCATATTTGTGTTTTTACTTTATACATCGAAAGTACTCGTTATGGCGAGTTGTTTTGCCGCGGGACGAGAACGAAATAGATGTTACGGTGTGTTTTGTCGTACCATAGGGTTCTCCTTCCAATTTGTCCTCGGGATGCGTTTTATCGAAGTGCGCCGTCAACAATTCGAACCTGTAACATATTGACATACTGTCAGTAGTTATTGTAGCTTCTAATGCATGCGCGGGTTCTAACCTACTAACGGCAAGTACCAACGTGCCTTTCTCCAAGTTATATGTACTTTTTAAGATTATTTAGACACCACTGACAAACGGTGAAGGAAAACATCGTAAAGAAACCTGGGCTTATAATTGGGTTCTTGCCTTAATCAAAAATAAATAATTTCGACTGTTCAATACAATCAGATATTAAAAAATAATCACACTTTCATTAATTGATTTTATGATCAACTTCATTTTAGTATTTTTCCAGCAAATTTTTAACAAATAACTATACTGTTTGACGCTAAAAAACCGTGACGTCACAACACAATACACAATCTCGTACTAAATTCATAGAAAACTGTCGTTTTCGACAGTTCGAAAAAAGTATTGAATTTGACTAGTTGGCGAGTCATTCCAATTTCTAATTATAAGTTTGATATCACCAACCCGCATTGAGCAATTTATTATTTATTTATTTTTAGCCACGATCGTCCCACTGCACGGTAAAGGCCTCCCTTCCTACCCTCCTTCCATTCCTCTCTATGTATACATGAGCAAACGTGGTGGTTAATGCTCAAACCTTCTCCGTGTGTGGAGAGGCCTTTGGTCACCAATAGGCTGTTGATGTTGATATTGGTTCGATTTCCGACTTACTTGGAGAATATTTTGAAACAGATCCGGCACTGGTATCGCTCGGCGAGGTGTATCCGCTTGTTGTGTCTCCCGAGTTTGCTCGCCGTAATGAACGACTGACCACACGCTGCACAAGTGTATGGCTTCTCATCTGTAATGTAATGGTTTCTGCTTATACTCTTTGTGTAGGCGAGATGATGTATAGGTCAGAGTGAAGAACAAAATAGAACTACGTGTGAACAGACTAGTATTCATCTCAAGTGTGGTAGAGTCGTGCTTCAGCACTGCTGGATCAGCTCGACTGTAGTGATACCACCAACGAGCAGAAAACCGACGTGTGAGTGAGGTTACCAGAGGCCCAAGTACCCCCTCCCCCTCCCCAATCCCTGAATACTCAAATTCCGAATCCCCAAAAGGCCAGTAACGTGTGTTGCGGGTGTCCACAGGCGACGCCGACAGCTTACCATCAGGTGATCAGTCTGCTCGTTTGCCGACTTACCACAAAAAAAATGATGAAGTATTATTTGACATTTTCTACTAGACAATGCAAGAAATCAAGAAAGCAGTAGTATAGTAGACTATAGCATAGTAGACTTTCACGAGTCTACTACTGCTTTCTTGCATTATTCTTGTTGTATCTGCATAATATAGGAACGAGTTTACAATTATAATTTCTAAGAATTAAAGCTTCAGCTTTACAGTATGGAACTATGCCTGTTTTATATGAATACACTGAGAAAATCTCTACTAGTTTCGAACCACAGAGCGCGCGCGGTCGCGGCGACGTCGTGGTTCGAAACTAGTAGAACTTTTCTCAGTATATTCACGTGAGTAACCCGCGATTTTAGTTAATTTAGTATGTCTCACGATAGGTATTGTAAAACATACGTGTCTAATGTTTTAAATTGTCAAACACCAAGCGGTCACCGGTACCGCAACCTATTGTTCTATAATTGTGTCTATAATGACGGTACTCGACGAGTTAAATTAATCTACCGGACGGACATTGAAATAATCTTACTGGTTCTTATTCATAATCCATTCAGTACTGATAAGAATAACATAACTGACATAAAGGCCTTCTGCTTACCCCCTTGTAGAGGAAATAAAATAAGAGATATTATGAGAGAATTACCTGTATGTGATCGCACGTGTAGCTTGAGGTAGTAGCTCAGTGTGAACTGCTTATTGCACGCAAAGCACTTATATATCTTCTCCATATCGTTAATCTCCGTCTCATTCATACTCTTATCGTTAACTCTATCCACTTTGTTACACATATCACCGTTATTTAAACTATTATCGTTACTTACATTACTAAGTTCACCATTCACCGAATTAAATTGACTACTTTGATTATCTATTACACTGTTACCGTTATTTACATTACCATTATTCTCTATCTCATTATTCATTACTAAGTCAGCAGCTTTCTCGCTACCTATGTAACCGTCTTCCGGTTTAATTTCAACATCCATTTCTGATTCTTTTTTTATTTTACTTAATTTTTTTAACTTTTTCTTTTCTTTTTTTATTTGTTTCTTTTTGAATTGGTTCCGGAGACGGAGTCGGTAGCTTGTCAATCTGTTCTTGTGTATAGTGACATGTTGATCGAGTTCGTGGAGTGCACTATAACTTATGTTACATACAGAGCATCCGTAGAACTTGAACGAAGCATCCGTTATCTTCTCCGAACAGAATGTACCTTTTTCTCCTTTCTTATCTTTCTTTTTTCTCTTACTCGTTGGTTGTATTACATTATCGTTACTGTTAACCTCCTTGACTTCGGTTTGTGATGTTGGTAGTACTGGATTTGGTTTAACGGGTTCCGGAATGTTGTGCGTATTGTGTTGTGTGTTGTGCATGGTAGGTACGAAGTTTGTGTTGGTCTGTGCGTATGCCTGGTACATTGCTTGTAGTTTGTTTGGGTATGGGTACGTTGGTGCTTGGTAGCTGTACGTTGGGTAGTCGTAGCTCAACGGATCCATCTCCATATTGCCGTGATGATTCATATTGTTGGCCTGGAATTGAAATTAAATATTTTTTGTTAGTTCAAAGAATATTTATTTTATTTATTAATTTATCTATTTATGCACAACACACAGACAGTACACAGGAGAACACATATATAAATAAATTGGAGGTACATAGGTACTACATATTCCCGTAGGAAACTCTTCCTGCAGTCCTTCGACAGGAAAAACGGTAAAAACTAAGACACTGTGCGTAACATGACATGAATAAAGGTGGAGTATGTATTTTTTAGAAAGTTTATTTAAAACTTCAGTTGAACAAGTTACATGGTGCATAGTAATTATCGTGACTTGTCCAATCACAAAGAAAATTAATTATTTTAAATTCAACTAGGTACCTAAGATGGAGTTAATATTTTACACATTTCTATTAAAAAGTTGGCTTTTCGTGTAGATTAGGTTGTGACATTAACTTCAGCTGTTAATGAAACCATTATGTCACACCCGATTGAAGGGAAATAGTTTCAAAAACTTATATGAAACTAAAACATGTGGTGGAGATGTTTATAAACTGAACACATGCCTGTATTCATCTCAGACAGACAGCCAGACACTTATCAAACACACAAGAAATGTTCAAAAGGTTGTAGTGTGTGTGACACCTCGCCCTATAAGTAAGTAGTGTAAGTTAGTTCTTAGGACACTCAATTAAAGATATTCCTAACACTAACACGTCTCCCTCATTGCTCCACATCACATATTCCCGTAGGAAACTCTTCCTGCAGTCCTTCGACAGGAAAAACGGTAAAAACTAAGACACTGTGCGTAACATGACATGAATAAAGGTGGAGTATGTATTTTTTAGAAAGTTTATTTAAAACTTCAGTTGAACAAGTTACATGGTGCATAGTAATTATCGTGACTTGTCCAATCACAAAGAAAATTAATTATTTTAAATTCAACTAGGTACCTAAGATGGAGTTAATATTTTACACATTTCTATTAAAAAGTTGGCTTTTCGTGTAGATTAGGTTGTGACATTAACTTCAGCTGTTAATGAAACCATTATGTCACACCCGATTGAAGGGAAATAGTTTCAAAAACTTATATGAAACTAAAACATGTGGTGGAGATGTTTATAAACTGAACACATGCCTGTATTCATCTCAGACAGACAGCCAGACACTTATCAAACACACAAGAAATGTTCAAAAGGTTGTAGTGTGTGTGACACCTCGCCCTATAAGTAAGTAGTGTAAGTTAGTTCTTAGGACACTCAATTAAAGATATTCCTAACACTAACACGTCTCCCTCATTGCTCCACATTGCAAGGTAAAACTTCAAAATATTTAAAACTTTCACACAGTTAGTGAGTTTGTTTAATTAAATAACAGAATTTCTTGCAATCCCCACTAAAACAAAGGCTCATTACAGAGCTAATGAACCCACTGTCCCATTTACGTCATCACATCCACTTCGCGGAACCCTAAACCCGATATATCAGCAAAACAATGTGTAGGTTCGCCAGAACACTACGAAATATGTAAACACAACACGAAAATATGATTTTCTCTCACTTTTATAGCCAAAACGGCAATTCGAAGCACACAGAACGTCCTTCCACGTACTAATCGATACTCTCTGCGTAAAAAACTTACCTGATGTTGAGTTGTATAGCACAAAAAACACTTTTTTTATTCGTTTCACAAATTAGTTTATTACGATGGAATTCATCGTGTTTTCCCACCAAAACTCCTTTAGCAACATGTTTAACAAGTGCCAACTGTATTGCACACTTTAATTATCACTAAAAATTAGTTTAATAAGTCTTTAAAGGCCATTAAAACAAAGAATATTCATTTCGTTAATTCACATTTTTTTTCTCGCGTGACTAGGTAAACTGCTATGGCCGTCATTTCAATGTTGCCAACAATATTTTTCAAATTACCTCATATTTTGGTGTAATAATCTTTAATTTGAAACTAAGTAATAATTTGTTTTTGTGACTTATTTTTTTCACTTATTGTTCATATTCAATGTGTATTCAAAAAATTGCATAATTTGTCTCGAAGAACAAAAGTTTTTACTAATAGGTAAATGAATAAAAATATTGTTTTTCTCTGATTTGTGTGGTCAAAATATCATTTAATTGTATTTTCATCTGTTTTTCTCTTTTAACATCTATGTCACCATTGATCATCATGATTTGAATTCAATTGAATTTGAATTGAATTGAATTGAATCATTGTTTGCCTCTAATTGAATTAATAATTAAGTGTGGGAGAGCCATGCTTCGGCACGAATGGGCCGGCTCGACCGGAGTGATACCACGGCCTCACAGAAAACCGACGTGAAGCAACGC